CCACCTTATGCTGTCAAGCTGTTGTTTTTTTTTACTGTATATATATATATATAATTTTTTAAAAGTATGTGTAATGTATGTGTTGGGGATTCTTCAGGCAGATTCTTTCTACCCACTGGCACTAATCCGTATGTTTCACAAATCATCGTACATTTGCTATCAAGAGACATCATTGACAGCGAGTCATGCTGTCTAATACCTCGCACAACCCTGTGCATCCATTTTCTATTCTTTTTGTTTAGTGGTTGTTGTTTTTTTTACTGTTGGTTGACAAACAGTAGCTATGTCTATCTAGCTGTATCCCCTGCCAAATATTTGACAAGAGCTTGGTGGATGCTTGTTTGTTTTGTAACGGTCTATGCACTGCTTCAGTGGTGCAGTTTATTTTTTTCCCCAAGATGTTTTGAAGATTGGTTTGGGGGTACTTTCTGCTCTCGACTGATCAAATCAAGTATGCACCTTCACCCAAGTACTGTAAAAGAGTTCCTTTGTTTCTTGAAAACATTACTCATATCACAGATTTTCTTTAAGTCAGTGGTCTAGACGAATGGCTTGAAATAAGTGGACGCCATTTTTTTGGAAAACACACATAATTCATTGCATTTATATAGCGCTTGTCAAGACACCCAAAGCGCTTTACATAGGGTGTGTGTGTGTGTGTGTGTGTGTGTGTGTGTGTGTGTGTGTGGGGGGGGGGGGGGGGGGGGGGTTATGACACCTCATCCACTACCAGAATAAAGCTGTTTAATACACATCCCTATGATGCAATATAGAATATGTGCGATAAGACAACAAGGAAAGGTAATTTCTTCAGGACAGGAAAGGTATGCTGCAGCCATAGTGGGTGGGGAGTACCCAGGAAATAGCATAACTAGCATGACGGAGCCGGCTGTAGTTGCTTTGCATCTGGTGCTCATCTACAGTTAATTAGCCGGTGTTTCCGTCCCATTTCATGGGCTCTCTTGTGGAAAATGCTGTCACTGCATGTTTACCCGGTGCATCTGGTGCCATGACAACCAGACAGATTAGGGAGTCAACTGATAATGTGTAGTAACGGAAATCACAACAATGCCCATGTGCCTGCCTTGCTTCCTCGTGATGCCGTGTCATTGGTATGTATATATAAGAGGCTTCTATATCTTACATGGAGAGAAGGCCTAAAGGTCTTAGTAGTTGGTGAATGTCCCTGTGGACATCAACACACACACACACACACACACTAGAGGTGCAAACAAGTACTCGAATTTCTCCGACATCTTATAAATACATTATATATTATGTTGATATGTATGTTGGCAACTTTAGCAATTTTGGAGCAGAATAAATATAATTCGCCGTTGCACAGTCATGCATTGTTGGAGGCTGTATAAAATAGGTTTGTTCGAGTTTCCCATGCGACAAGTTTTACAATAATTCCCGGCAGGAACGTCCCAACATCAAAGCTGAAAGAGAAATGTATGGCAGCATAGCACTGCTGTGGTGTATTAAAAAAAATCACACCTCTCAATAGCAGCTTATGCAGTTTGAACTTTTTTTTTTTTTTGGATATTCAACAGATATCCACAATCTGAATGTGAATGTGATGTGATGCGGTGAACTAAAGATGTGATCACCAGTATGAGTCCCATGTGTCTAGCGGTGTCTACCTGCCCAGGAGACGGGGCTTTCAAGCAAAGCCGTCAGGCAGCAGCACTCCTCTCTATAGAGCCATCGTTTGGTTAACATTTCTACACAATCAGCGAACTACAAAGTACCCTGCCCTGCCCTAAACAATAGCCAAACTAAAATGCAATTCAGCTGGATACATCACGTTTCCTGTGACATTCCCCAATGGATATAACATGAAAAGCACGGTTTAGAAGTGTATCCTGCCAACGCTACAACAATAAAAAGCAGGTTTAAAATTGCATGACCAGCAGAGCACCGGTGTGGGTGCAACGCACATGGACTGTATAAAATACAGATTAAAACTGACTTTTGTTATGTGTAAGTTAATGGAAACTATCGCAGACATAAAAAAAGACACACAAAAAAAAGCACCTACGAGTACTCGAGTACTCCCTGTGATTTGAACCGTGTATTCGATTATGTTTTGGCATTTCTTGCATCCTTAACACACACAACAAAAAAAGTGTGTATGTGTGTTCATCTTGTGTACAGCTAGTCCATGAGAACATGAGATAAGGGAGCTGCAGTGCACTTGGAAGGAAATCCTCATACATCACCGCGGTCTTAAATTGTGGTCCCGAGATCAATTAAGTGCGCAAGACCGCGCTTGCTCGCTTCCTCCCTCTGCCGTATACTCGGTGGAGCCATTTTTAAATGGGCCTGCGGACTGCCTTAATAAGCTGGGTCCGCCGAGGGAAGTATAGCCGTGTTGCCGTTTATCATACCTGCATCCTGGCCCTCGGACAACTCATAAACACAGCAGGAGAATGCGCCGGATCTCCCATCAGCAATCACAGCAAAGCGTCCCCCCCCCCGTCTCTGCATTATATTTGCCTACTTAGTGAATATTACTTGTGTTGCCACATTCTGACAGCGGGCTTCACGCTGGTTAACACTTAGCAAGCCAGATACACACACTCTCTCTCTCTCTCTCTCTCTCTCTCTCTCTCTCTCTCTCGACTGTGTCAACACACTACGCCTGCCCCACCAGCTAACAAGCTCAGGATAGTTGACTGTGTAAACAGAGCAGCCCTAAAGGTCAATTAGGATACTTGAAGTAAAAGCAGCAGGAAGCCCCACAACAAACAAATGCCGTCCCAATTTGTAGTTTGTGCCAGGGGCGTGTTTTCAATACGCACGCTCTTTTCTGTAACACGCCGGATCCTCGACGTCCCCTCGAAAAGTCATAGCCTTCCTATGCCTGCTCTAAAATGTAGATGTATTTCCAACCTGAGATGCTCCTGTAACACATCTGTACTAGAGCGGCAATGACGCGTGAGAATGCCGCTCTCCAGGGTGCTGAAACAGCATTGTTCATCCAACGCTAGCCCGGATAAAGTACAGCATACGTGACTGTGAACCGTGTTACCCGACAAGATGGCCTGAGCCTTGGCTCCACCAGGTGTACACCGCACTGCATACACCATGAGGTGTGAGGTAATACCAGTCCGTCAGTGGTCAGCACAGGTTCATACTGGTCTGTTTCTGTGCAGCCTTGTGTGGGTGACTATTCTATTCTCAGCTGGCGTGCAGTGGCAGCAGCACTGTGGGAAGCGATGGAAAATGTCTATCGATAATAAGAGATTAAAGACGACACTCCCCATTGTCTTTTCATTTGTGGCCGTGTTTTACTTATAGTGCTTTGGTTTGTCTGAAAGATGATCAATGCCGACAAACAAGAAGTCTTCGTTAGATATCCGCTCTTTTGGCCAACATGAGGCCAGGCGACTGGGGGATGTGCAATTTTGGTTTAAAGAAATTATTCATTAGACAGAAATTTAAAGTGCTCTCTTTCTGGGTAAACACAACTTGGAGTGTTTTATTTAAAGGGGCTGTAGACAACTTTTCAACTTTTCCCACCCTAGCGTTTCAAAGTGGTATTATTTTTGCACCGCTGTCGCAAAGACAAACCAAATCGTGTTCTCTTTCCTCAGAGCCTAGCGACCACAAACAACACAAGACGCACATTCGTTTGGAAGTCTCCAAGATAGAAACGATCAACACTTGGGAAATAAGAAAGAAAGAAGCATGTTCACTGAGGAGGTAAAGTGAAATTGGCGTAATTGTATTTGGGAACAGGCTGTCGGCAGCAGGGGTTGGCGTCGGGGTGGAGGGGGGAGTATAAGAAAACATTCGGAGGAAAACCGTGAGTTTATTTATTAATTTAGTATATAACGGAGACATGAAAGCAGACAAATTATTTTGTATGTGTTGAGAAAAGCGAACTGGGTTGGTAGCCTGACTGGATCGCCTGGCGAGGCGCAACATGAGGTTTATTCAGATAGTATACTCAATGCAAAAACGTAGCATACGCAGATATAAGTAGTGTCATCAGATTGGCAGATGGCTAATGGGGATAGCTACCGGGGTAAACAAAAGCGATATTCCTCCTGGTTTGGTCGTTTTCTTTGTGCCGTAAGGTGAGCCTTAATTTTTCCAGGGAGATCGTACCCGGTGACAGAGCTGCATAGTGAAAGGGAGGCTTATAAGGGAACCAATCTAAACGCTGATGGTGTCATTATTCTGTAGCCATTACATTGTGCAATCAACATTTACTTCACATTGATACGTTAAAGCAAAAAAGTTGTCTACAGCACCTTTAATTGATTTCTTATTGATCAGATGTACATTAGTTGTGCATTCCAGGCTATGGCATATATCTATACCTGAGCAAACACAACATAGCACATTTAGCATAAAACACTCCTGGATTTTCAAGGGAGCCATTTATTCTCCGGTCTTATTTGAGTTTTCTGGCAGAACATGAGTTGAAAAAAATCAAACTGCACCAACAGTACTTGTGTTGCTGTTAAATAATTTAGTAGCTCCTGCGCAGTGCTGTACCTCATGGATTAGTGGATAAATTACTAGATAAAATAGTCACAAAGTATTCATACTGTTGTGACTTCACTGTTCTTGTTCACTGACTTCTTAAAAAAGATCCACTAGAAAAATATGCATTGCCATTTAAAATGCAAGAAGTAAACACCCATTTAGCAGCAAGTAGATGAATTAGGGTGAAAAACATGATTATACTGTATAATAGAGTGGTTCATTGATGAACTGGAGGCGATGATTTGAATTTCCGCGAGACATCAAACGTGCCGATGAACAACATGTCTAGATACAAAACTAAAAGCCTGCTGTTTGTAATTACAATCGACAACTGTATGAATCATTTCCATTTTGTTTTGTCTAAAACAGACGAGGCACAACCGACCACAATCTTTGGGCAAGCAGAGTTCCTGTATGGACAGTCACTAGCAGGCCTGTATGCATCTGATTGTGCAGAACAATCGCTGTCATTTTCCTAACATGACAGGTACTGTCACGGCCCTGACCAGCTCAACTGGTAGAGCATGGCATTAACGTTGCCAGGGTTAGCAGTTCAATTCCCATTGGGACCACTCATGCTAGAAAAATGGATGCACTCACGGTATTATAAGATGCTTTGGATAACAGCGTCCACCCAATGGCATATAATTATAGTATCATATTTCTCATTTGATTGTGTTCTTCATCTTCATCAAGAGTGCCAAAATACAGCTGAATAGACAGACAGCTATTCTGGCTAGATCAATTAAAAACATCAGGGAAGAATGAAACGAGAGATAAAGACCAACACGGTGCATTAAGCGAATGCTGGGGAACAACTACTCAACACCATTTCCATTTCAAAGCTTTCTTTTTGCTGCAAAGCTTATGATTCAGACCTTGGGGAGATACAGAGCGCTCTGCCATGCCGCTGTACGGCCGCGCGTGTCTCGCACAAGAGGGGGTGTTGACAAGATAGGGCGAGGGGCTGGAGGGGTTATGCAGGCTATCCGCCACAGTTTGTTTAGCCAGTATCTATCATATATATATATATATATATATATATATATATATATATATATATATATATATATATATATATATGGGAGATGTGAGTGCGGTTGGTTTTATTTTGTGACATAGAAGCCAACTGTGGTAAGTGTTCATGGATGGATGTATCAGTCCCATCTCCCACAGACAGTGTTATTTATAAATGATACGTAAAGGCCTACACGGTGTGCTGGATAAGTCATGGATATCCCTTGGCTCTCCATTTCTAGCATGTTAGTTTAGCCTTGATCGTCTCAGTTGGCGTATCATCTCCCCGGATTCATCCACACTCCATGTCTCAGCCTCCTCTCCGATTGCGCTGTCCAACACATTCGGGCTGTTCCTGAGAGACCGGCCTTCCTCCACACATGCTGCTCTCTCTCTCTCTCTCTCTCTCTCTCTCTCTCTCTCTCTCTCTCTCTCTCTCTCTCTCTCTCTCTCTCTCTCTCTCTCTCTCTCTCTCTCTCTCTCTCTGACGTATGCTGGCTCTCATTCCTGCCTTCCTGCCCCCACAATATCTCTCTCTCCCTCCCGCCCCCTCGCTCACAGATCCGCCTGCTCACAACACAAATGGCAACAGGCAGGCAGCATGCCACAACATTGAGAAATTACACAACAGTGAAATTATTTTTGTCACAAAAAAGGTCTGGAAAAGAGAATAAGGGATGATGAGGAGTGGAACTGAGGTAAAAGCGAGAGGTGACATAAAGTGGTCTCTCTCTCTCTCTCTCTCTCTCTCTCTCTCTCTCAGCACCTGTATCATGTATTAAAGTTAAGTAAAGTTAAGTGTCCATAAAAACCGTACCTCTGGGGCTCAAGCGGCCCAAGCCATTTCACTGCAGTGTAGATAACATGTGACGGCCCTCCAAGGGCCCTCTAGTAATCTTCCAATTTCGTATCTCTGCTGAGTTCTCCGTTTGCCACATATTCCCTGACACTGTCAAAATAAGGCAAGGAACAATGTCAAAAGGTCACTGCAACGCAATCAAAGCTGCCACCTTTTAGGGTCAATTCTATTATATGAGATATATGAGAAATGTATGAGAGAGAAAGAGAGAGAGAGAGAGAGAGAGAAATATAGCGAGAGACAGAAGTGAGACAGAGACTATGATGGCAGTGAGTATAATGCCTACTGTCCTTCACTTGCTGCCTGGCCATTAGTTGTTAGACACGTGCAGTGAGGACACAGCCCTATCCTGCAGGTGGAGCGACCTGGCTCTCTAAATACAGGGAGAGTGGAAGGGTGCTGGATGAGAACTGCATAATGCATCGAGCCTGACTTCCCCCATCATTGTCGTCGAGGACTGAGGAGGAACAGAGTCTGGGAGACTGCACGACTCCCCACCTCCTCATGGTCCTACAGCAACCCGTGGAAACAGAGGCGTTGAATGTAAATAGGTCTGGACAGCAGAGGGGCAGGCTGCATGTGTATAACACTCATGAAGGAGGGGGAGGATCTTTTCTTAAGGATTGACCCATAAACCCTGTCGAGACATTGTCCTACCTTCACGCAAACACAAACACACACCTCCTCTTTGTCGCTCTCTCTCTCTCTGGCTTCTGGCCAGTATGGGTAGAGTATGGCAGATTCATATTCACATATGCCCCTATATAGACACTTATTCCATTACAAAGACAGGCTTGAGATTCATGTGCCCGTATGCGTGCGCGTGTGCATGCATGCCCGTGTGTGTGTGTGTGCATGCGTGTGCATGCATTTATATTGTGGAATACATTCTCCACACCTCAGCAGTTCCCCAAATTCCTACACCGGTGGGAGATGCACCGCTACAGCCGAACAGCAGCAGCAACAACAACAAGCAAACAACAGCAACAACTGATTGGTAAAGTGAGATGAGCCGCCGGGATTAAGTCTGAAAAACACGCAAATCTTTTTTTACTAAAAAAGGAAAACCTAACTTTATGGAAAACATAACCTCCCTTCCTAATACACATTTTCTACACTCGGGGGAAACTCTTGAGATTGCTCTGCATATCATCTAGGGCCCGACCGATATATCGGTTCGGCGATAAAATTGGCTGATATTTGCGGTCCAGAGTTCGGCGGAAATTCCACCGATAAACTGACAGTATGGACTTTAAAAAGTATTGTCAGTGTAGTCAGAATTTTGTAGTGAAGACTGAAGACACCTAAGATTTGTGAACTTGTAGGTTGGTATTTCTAGTCACAGAAAAGATGTGTAAATCTGTGAATCGGTTTGTAAATTTAAGAATAAATACACAAACAACCGCAAACTTGCACTTTACACTGTCAACAAATACAAGAATCCACTCCTGCAAGTGGCTAATCTGCGATTCCCTGCAAATACTTTAGCAGGGAAAAGTCAATGGCAGTTTTTCGGTGCTGGATTTCAATCATGTACCTCTGCCTTTCGGGGAACAACTCCAAGTCACAAACTGAAAAAAAAGAAACCTTTCACAGAGTTGTAGCCAAGACTTTGGTGAACATTTCGGTATGCAGCTATCGCTGAGGAGCAAGTTTATGCTCTAAGAAAAGAAAAGGAATATCCAATGAATCGCTGCCCGACAAAACCTAGATGTATCAGCCATATCTGGGCTCCCCGCTGCCAGAACAGACAAAATGGACCGGGTTAACAGTGACTACTAGGCCGTTTCCTCTTTGAACAAGGCCATTCTTCGGCAGGTGTACAGAGATCGTGTTCATGCCGCAAGTGCATTCTGGATTTAAGAGGCTACTGGCTCGGCAAAAACGTATGTGTCCTCTTACTAAATTACTGATTTCTCGCCATAGGAGCATTTGCGAAAATGTAATATGCTCTGAGACATAACCCCTGAGTATGTTGTCATATGGGAATCAAACTAATATCTGATACTTATGGTTGATGCTCCATCGATTTGAAGACACACTCTCCTAATAAACCCCATTGTAACTACGGCAGCAATGTCTCCGTGTGACATAGTAGCGTCTACAGAAATCGTGTTTAGCCACGGCAAATTACTAAATACTACAGAAAACGGTAAAACAGGACCTGGGGTGCCGTTGTATACAGTCTTGTATAAAGTACTTGAAAGCGATACTTGAGTCAAAGTACAAGTATCTTACCAGAAAATGACTTTGGTAGAAATAAAAGTCACCTTTTAGAATATTACTTGAGTAAAAGTCTGAAAGTACCTGACATTTACTGTACTTAAGTACCAAAAGTAATTTTCTGATATAAAATGTACTTAAGTATTAGAAGTAAAAGTAAAAGTATTTAAACAAAGTGAGCAGTTAGAATTTTGATTATGAAATGTATTTTGGCTCCTGTAATATCCAGGTACAGTACAGGGGAGAGGCTTCAACTTGTTCAACATTAAAATTAAATAAATAACAATAAATATAAGTCGTACACATAAGACAACACTGGACTGATGTTAACCTGATGAAGACAATACTCAGATTAACACACTGCCATGTAAACAGCATTCCCATAGTGGGAGTAATCAATACTGAATGAAGACATGTGGAGTATTCCAGTCTTATTGGCATTATTGTAGACATGTAAACACCTTAATCACACTGTGACGTCCTATCAGAGTATTGTAGGGGGACCATTTATGAGTTGTTGAAAAGGAGGACACCTCAGCCCGGGGGGGGGGGGGGGGGGTGCGCGCCTCGGACCTACGACCGACGGGGGGGGGGGGGGGGGGGGGGGGGGGGGGGGGGCGCGCGATCGTAACACACCACGGACCTATGACCGGCGGGCGGACCTATGACCGGCGGGGTTGTCTCAAAAAGGAGGACAAATACGCGTCCGGCTTGATGCTGCGCCGGACGCCGGACAGGGCTTTGAAAAACCGGACAGTCCGGCCTAAAGCCGGACGAATGGCCGCCCTAGAGTATTGGCAGCATGCCGGTGTAGCCGTGGCGTTTAGACACACACACGCACAAAAACCACTTCGTCTGGGAAAAGACATGTCGCCATGGCAACAGTAAACAACAGCCACTTTCAGTTTGGGTTAAAATACCGGTTGATGTCGCCACTGTTAATCTCGTCATTTGTGACCGGAGAATTAGCAGAACCTGCCGCAGCTGCAGGTGCTTCCATGATTGGCCAAAGCAGATCTTCTTCTTCGTCGCGCGTGGTGTTTTTTTTTTTCTTCGCGCTTGGAGGTTGATAAACAGGAAGTAGGTCACCAACTCGATTTTTATTTTGTAGTAACGAGTAACGAAGATGGTTATGGGAAATGTATCGGAGTAAAAGTACACATTTTAGTGAGGAAATGTAGTGGAGTAAAAGTAAAAGTTGTCAGAAATATAAATAACGAAGTAAAGTACAGATACGTGAAAATTCTACTTAAGTACAGTAACGAAGTATTTGTACTTCGTTACATTACAACACTGGTTGTATATCACCAATAGACATATCCGAACAATGTTAAAGTGTTTTAGGCTGTAGTTTCACTTTAAAACCACCAGATGATCTGAAAACACATCAGGGAATGTAATAGTGGCGCTGCACCATATGCTCCTTTACAGTGCCACCATGTAACATTTCAAAATATAGTTGACGTCATCATT